GCTAAAAAACCACAATTGTTAGGTGACATGATTCGCTCAAGGAAACCAACTCATAAAGATGCTCCTTATACTTATATCCAGTAATCTAAGCTATGGTTTATAGGTTTTGGCCTTTAATCACTAAGTGAATCTCTTACCAACTTGCAGTTTAGCTGGCCAAGGAGGGTACTATTTACCACCCTGTAGGTTTAGCGCAATTGTCTCCACCAGTCCGACATATACTAAACGTGTTCAGCTGTGTAGTGACCGTGATCGGTGGCTCTGAGCTAACTCGGCATTTGACCAACCTTGGAGCCCCAGTCAGACTTCAGCTGCGGTGATTTGGAAAGGCGAACCGCGTTATATATAGGTTCCCGACAGAAAATGGGTTATAGACTGCCGCTCTTTATTCTTTCAGTGTCTTGTGCCGTCACAGAAACAGAAAGGACCCTCTAGTCGGCCCACCGGTGCACCGCCTTGTGCTGTGCCGCCGACAATCCGGTCAACTTCAAATGACTACAGAGTACCTACTCCTACCTCGTTGCGCTGACTTGAATAGCAGACTAACTTATCACGGCTCAATAAGGGAATTACGCCAAAGGGCTGGATTGAAGCCCGGGTAGCCGGACAGTGCGTGCATTAAAGAAAACTAGTGAAGATATTCGTCCAGAGGCAACACTGTACGGAGTAGGAGTCAGGCATGTAAGTTTTAGACTCCACCATGATATGCGTAAATCCGGCCTGCCCTACATGAGTACTAACCATATGTGTAGAAAGTGCTCCGTACAAGGTAGCTTACCGGTACTCCAGGTATGACTGCTAGGGGGAAAGGAAAGGAAAGGGGGAGAGGTGCGAGGTGGGGATGTCTTGGCGAACGGAGTTTCAGCACACCGCGGCTACATCTTGAGTATCGGTACGTATAGATCAACATACTGACTACTCCGTACTAGCAGTAGGCAAAGGTAGAAAAACTTTACCATGCCTTATTGTGGCCGCCGGGGACACCCCTTCCCCTTTTCTCCATTTGAGGCTTGTAAAAGCCTATCAAGCCTTCGTCTTGGTGGCAAAGACCCTTATGCTTTTGATACTGCACTACTATTTCAGGGGCTGCATTCCTGTAAACAGAAGACTTTGCATACAGCCAAAATAGGTATCCCCCAAGAGACTCGGGCTCAGCTTAGCCAAGCAATCATAAAATTGTCCACCTCTTGGTGTGGTGATATTGGCCTTTATTGAATTGGAAGGGCGAAATAAGCTAGTTAACTTACGAGGTCTTAGTCAGTTGGTAAGCTAGCGACTTTACCTACCACGGCACAAATCGGCACTAAGACACCAGTGGCCTATTATTAGAAAGCTATGTTTAGAGGACTGTGGCGGCGTGGCCACTAAATAATCCAGTACTTGAAACTGTACGATGAACTTTTGGCTGTACAGTACAGTACTACTGCCGATTGACTGCTTCTATACGTGATTCTCCAACCATAGCCATGGGGTCGAAATCTTGACTTGCTTAGTTTAGTAGATGAGAAACCGGGGTCCACGGTATTTGATTTTCATCACTTCGAATAGTGGAGTAGAGCAACCAAGGGAGAGTACCTACAATACTTAGTAGATATAGTTAGGTTTCATATCGTTCGGCAATCCTCCATACCTACGGAGTAGTACCCCGGGAAGATGCCAACATTGCCCAGCGGTCGTTGTCCAGCTGAGTCACGGGTGAAACATACCAATAGACCGTCTGAGGCGCAGAGTGGGCTTATTGGCTGCCAGCTCATTTGATAAATGGTTGTGCCCTGGAGTGCCTGTAGCAGCTTCCCTGGTCTGTGTGCTAATTGTGGGTCAATCTTACCACATAAAACATAACAGCTCCCCCTCCTTCCGACCTTCATTGTTTGTTGCTCCCCATCCATTACTACTAATACCCTGCCACTTCTACCTACTCTTTTTATTCCCCACCTTTCGGAATCTCCTTTTCTCCCTACCCTGATCATAGCCGTCTTTCCTTCTAACAAGATCCTGATTCTATCTCAACCGAAAGATACTGATAGTATGTATGTTGGAAGAAATCTGAAACGTCCCCCCGCACGCCCCTGTCTGTCGCTTGCGCCTCAGAGAATCACCGTTCGGTCTAACATGCTCTCCCACAGTCGGCATCCATCGACGAAACGTTGACCAACGCCTGAGTCGAGTGCATCTCCAACCGAAAGACAATATCGCCTAGATCTTCATCACGTTCTGTTTGGACCCCAACCATGTGGTATGTTCTGCTTTCCTGACAGTGCGGGCCGAGCTGCTCTGACCTGAATGTACTGCTTAGTGGCATTTTCGGATACATTAATTACCTCGTTGAGAGGGACCGCAAATACATCCTTGATACTTTGCTCAACGGTTAGTTTCTCTGTACCGCTGGATCTAGTCTCGTGTCATCTAACGCTGCGTAGGTCTATCGAGACTGGAATACCGCGGATACGACTCTGCGGGACTTGCGATCGATGGCGACAAGAAGAATGAAGTCTGTGCCTTCAAAGAGGTTGGCAAGGTTGCAAAGTTGAAAGAGCTTATTGAAGAGTCGAAACCCGACCTTACCAAGACCTTTGAATCTCATGCTGGTATCTCCCATACACGCTGGGCCACCCACGGAACACCATCTCGTCAGAACTGCCACCCACATAGGTATGTCAAAAGTCTCTGGCTACTTTCTGTTTCTCTGGCTAAAGTATACGACTGTTCTCCCGGGTGCATAGGTCCGACTTGAACTGGGAGTTTGCTGTGGTTCACAATGGTATCATCACCAACTACAAGGAGCTTAAAGCTCTGCTGGAGAGCAAAGGCTTCCGGTTTGAAACGGAGACAGACACCGAGTGTATCGCCAAGCTCACGAAATATCTTTACGACCAACAGCCCGACATCGAGTTTACAGTACTGGCCAAGGCTGTTGTTAAGGAGCTTGAGGGTGCCTTTGGTCTTCTCATCAAGTCCGTGCACTACCCTCATGAAGTGATTGCTGCCCGTAAAGGATCTCCCTTGGTCATCGGTGTCCGCACATCCAAGAAAATGAAGGTTGATTTCGTGGACGTCGAGTTCTCCGAAGACGGTGCGCTTCCGGCTGAGCAGGCTTCTCAGAATGTAGCCATCAAAAAGTCCGCCACTGGGCTCCTCGCTCCTCCTGACAAGTCTCTCCTGCACCGTTCCCAGTCTCGTGCTTTCCTGTCTGATGATGGTGTCCCCCAGCCGGCAGAATTTTTTCTGTCTTCCGATCCATCGGCAATTGTCGAACATACGAAGAAGGTTCTTTACCTTGAAGATGATGATATAGCTCATATCCACGAGGGCCAGCTCAACATTCACCGGCTGACCAAAGATGATGGAACCTCCAACGTCCGCGCTATTCAGACAATTGAACTTGAGTTGCAGGAAATCATGAAAGGAAAATTCGACCACTTCATGCAAAAGGAGATTTTTGAGCAACCGGAATCTGTGGTCAACACCATGAGAGGCCGACTGGATGTTGCGAACAAGCAGGTTACGCTCGGCGGGCTTCGGCAGTACATTTCTACCATTCGGCGGTGCAGAAGAATCATTTTCGTTGCTTGCGGAACGAGCTACCATTCGTGTATGGCTGTGCGTGGAGTTTTTGAAGAGCTTACTGAGATTCCTATCTCCGTTGAGCTTGCCTCCGATTTTCTAGACAGACAGGCGCCTATTTTCCGCGATGACACGTGCGTCTTTGTTTCCCAATCTGGAGAGACTGCGGATTCACTTATGGCACTTCGGTATTGTCTCGAAAGAGGTGCCTTGACTGTCGGTATTGTCAATGTTGTGGGTTCCTCTATCTCACTCTTGACCCATTGCGGTGTTCACATCAATGCGGGTCCTGAGATTGGCGTTGCTTCCACCAAGGCTTATACCTCACAATTCGTGGCCATGGTAATGTTTGCACTTTCATTGAGCGAAGACCGCGCTTCCAAGCAGAAGAGACGCGAGGAGATCATGGAGGGGCTTTCCAAGATCTCTGACCAATTCAGAGAGATCCTGAAACTTAACGAGCCCATCAAGCAAATGTGCGAAAAGCTTTTCAAGGACCAGAAGAGTTTGCTTCTGCTTGGTAGAGGTGGCCAATTTCCTACGGCCCTTGAAGGTATGCCTTGTGACTCTGGGGATCGCCATATGGTGCTAACTAATTTTTCTCAGGTGCGCTTAAAATTAAGGAAATCTCCTACCTCCACTGCGAAGCTGTCATGTCGGGTGAATTGAAGCACGGCGTCCTTGCTTTAGTCGACGAGAACCTGCCAATTATCATGATTCTCACCAGAGACAACATCTTCATCAAGTCTCTGAATGCTTATCAGCAAGGTAAGTACAACCGCTTTTCCGCACCCGAAATTATCATTCTTTGGCATCGGCCCTTCAAGAATGAATGACTGACCATATGATAGTTATTGCCCGTGGAGGTCGCCCCATCGTCATCTGCAACCACGATGATCCGGAATTTTCTTCGGCGCAGACGGAGAAGATCGAAGTCCCTAAGACAGTCGACTGTCTCCAAGGGCTTATCAATGTCATCCCGCTCCAACTAATCGCTTATTGGCTTGCAGTCACAGAGGGTTTGAATGTTGATTTCCCTCGGAACCTGGCCAAATCGGTGACCGTCGAGTAATTTGGTAATGTGGCTTTACCAGCGCAGCAGATATTTGGGCCGTTTTATTCTGTTTCCTGCCATAGCCTTCATACAAATGACTCTAAATTTCTCTAACGACAAAAAATGCGAGCGCTCAAATAAAGTATTCGTCTATCTTCGAGAATGATCATTTTTGCAAGCCGACAATCTACCGTAGCTTGCCTTTAGATATATGCGAGCAATGGCCTCGTTTCCAGTATAAGGGCCCTCTGGATTAGCCAGGATTGCTTGATACACGTATATCAAAGCTTTGCAAACCTAGCTTAGCGGGGCCGGTTCGGACCCCCACTTCCGGATTCCAACCGCAAACGGCCAACTGCCAGTTTCGCTATAAACTTAACATCTCGTACCGATAGTCTCAAAAATCCAACAGAGTAACCAGATTACAATTCTCAGCTCAACGCAAACATGACTTCAATTAAAGGTCCAGGAGCCGCGCAGGTACACAACGGTGAATGCCCCACTTCAACATTTTGCACATGCCCTGTCGCTTGATACTAATCCCTGTAGGCTCGGGTCTCAGAGTTGCAATCGTTCACGCGCGGTGGAACATGGAAATAATCGGCCCTCTTGTTGACGGGGCCAAACGAAGCCTCCTATCAGCCGGAGTTCTGGAGGAGAATATATCACTGCATACCGTTCCAGGCAGCTACGAGTTGCCCTATGCCGCGCAGCGGTAAGCGAGCGCTATGGAGAGCCAACTGTTTCTTCGGTAGTAGTTCCTCTAACGCTGTACTTCTAGGATATATGCCGCCTCGCAGATTCAAGCTGCTAGAAGCTCGGCTTCCGCTCAGGCCATCAGCGCCACGGACTTGCTTTCTTCTTCGTCTGCAGACCTTGCAAACCAATCTACTCAACCGCCATCTACCGATACGCCCCAGCCATTCGATGCCATAATAGCGATAGGTGTTTTGATCAAAGGGGAAACTATGCATTTCGAATACATTGCCGATGCTGTTACTCACGGATTGATGCGCGTCCAGCTGGAGACGGGCGTGCCTGTCATATTTGGTGTACTTACTGTACTGAACGAGGAACAAGGACTTGAAAGAGCCGGTTTGGGCAAAAAGGGCATGCATAACCATGGCGAAGATTGGGGCAATGCAGCCGTCGAACTCGGAGCAAAGAGAAGAGACTGGGCTGAAGGAAGAAACGTTTAGGGTGGATCAAGCGGTTACTCAAGGCATATGGCCCGAAATGGAAAGAACCTCTTCCTGTTCTTGATCGAGGGTAACAATCGATGAATATCTTAGCAGATGAAGCCTTATTTACTAGATCGATGTCAAGGAAGGGCCATCCCATTTATCGTGATAGGTTGAGATATCGAAGACAAGCCGTCAATCCTCGCGGAGTTCGCCTACTTATCTATTGATTTGGAACCTGAAAACCTCACTCTTGCATGCGTTCGTTGTCGACAGCGTCGCCCTTCGCCGCATCATCTTCCTCGTCATCTCCCTCGAGAGCCGCTTTTGCCGCCCGCTCGGCTTCTTCCAGCAGCTCCTTGGGTACCTCTTCGTGTCTTCCTTGCGTTGGACCATCTAGTGAACTAATCCAAGTCATTTCGAGTTCAAAGTCCTTGTCCTTACTGTCTTCATGGGCGACGTAGATAATGCGAGCTGCCTCTTTCACGCCATCAATGAGACTGAGACTGCCGGCACTTAGGTCCAGTTTCTCCAGCTCAGCCTTCGCCGCCTGTCTGCCCTTTCCAGTTGCGGCGCCATAGTAACCCTTTCACATTATTAGCATGTATCATCAACTCAAAGCCATGGAAGCCAGGCGGCCTTACCCAATACAAACCACTCGGCTCGATCATGTATAAGCCTGGACCTCCGGCTTTTGCACCCTCAACCTTGCCGCCAGAACCGGCTTTAGGTCCGCTTCCAACTTGACCGTCAACCGCAAGCTCCGCTTCAGAGTCCCAGCCTCCGACTATAGCAGTTACTCCAAAGGGCCTCACGCTCGAATAGAGTGTGTAAGCCTGTACGTAGCTGCCGAGCCGGTTCGATAGAGCGGAGACTGGTATAGGTCCCTTGTACACATTTCTCCACGAGGAAGCCTCGTCTCGAGCTCGCGAGACGAAATGCCGACCGTCGGGAACTAATCCTGCCGAGACCTACATCAACACCAGTGCACATGTTAGCATAGGCATGTTCATCAATGAGAGCTACGCCCATATTTAGGCGCGAGGTGAAGATCATACAATGCCGACATGGCGATCAACTGTTGCTATCCTCTTATTCGCGCCAGGCTTCAGAAGCTTGCTGCTGATAATCTTCTCCACCGCCAGTACGACGCCATCTTTGCATCTGAGGCCAACGGCTGTTCCCCCATTCTCAACGGCTTTGACCGCATATTCCACCTATAGTAGCGAGTCAATAACTTGCATGGGCCCCCCAAATCACTTGCACAGGTCTTTACCTGAAAGTTACGGCCATCGGGCGAAAACACCGAGTTTGAAAGATCATAACCAGTACCAATAGATGTCTAAATTATGGAAGTGTCAGTATCGTAGGAGCAGGGTTGTCAGGAAAAAGCAGACAGCCCAAACGAACCATGGCGATTGTGAACAGTCGCAAAATTGGTGCGAATCTAGATACGAGGATGTGAATTGAGTGTCAGGCGTAGGTGGATGGTTGCTGGGTATAGAGTGTTATGAGTCCGGGACAATAAATCTGAAAGGGCGTGAAGAAAGGTATGGTGACTTCAAGCAAGTCGGCTGACGCGCGTAGATCGTTACCTATGCCTATTACACTGGAAGGAGCTGCCTGACCTTAGCTCATGTCGCACGGACCACTCGCCGCTTTAGGGGTATAAGAGCCACGTGATATGCTATCAAGGGAGATGACGTTGTCCCATCCAAGTGAGCGCTAGAAAAGTACAAGGTAGTAAGCAAGTGCCGGACAGCCATTAACTATTCAGTATCACAAGGGTGTAGGCAAGAATCTTTACTTTACAGTACCTACCTGTATACTTGTGGCTGTACCCATCACTATATTTACTCGTGAACTCCTCGGTAAATTATCTTGGTTTTCTTGTTTCATGTGCCCAACAAACCATGATCAACTGGGCATCGGGCAGCATGTGCTCTCACTGCCTTGTACCCAGTGCCATATATATGTATCAATCTACTCCTGGTCTGTCGCTGTGGCTGTCTCTCAAAAAGAAGTGACTTTGCTCAAAGGACAATCACGCTCCCTCCTTCCCTCCTATTCACCTATGCATAATTGGGGTTTCGCCCAAACCAGTTGCTTGATATTCATTCACCAGGGCATTCTCGCACTTGACTCTCTTCTCTTGGACCAATAACTCTGCCATGGATTCTATGATTCCTCCTCAGTGTTTCTTCTGCAGCCAGGGGACGAAGAGTTCCGAACCGCTCGCCCCATATACCGAAGTTCCATGCTGTAGTCAGGTCAGAGAGTCCAACACTGCTTCTAACTCGGCTCCTGACCAAAAGGGCTTGTAGTGCCGACTCTCGGCATCCGAAAGTAACATGCAACTCCAACAAGAGCTCGCTGCGCTTTTCGAGAAGAGTATGACTCTCAACCTATCAACACACCTTGCCAGCGACCAATCACTGTGCTCTGTTTCTCCCGACCCAAAGCTATATAGTATCGGGCAAAACCCGGCCAGCAATATGGACCTGCACCCCACAGCAATTGACACACTCAGATATCACAACATTGATCCAGAAACACTTTTACTAAGACAATGGAAGCTCTACGAAGGAGCAATGCCAGAACAACGGTCACGCTTAATCCAGATGTGGCAGTTGTCACCGGAGCACCGATACCACAGCGACCAGGGTGAGACTAAGGGCGCCGGGTTGCATGACCACGGTGCGACGAATAAGACTGCCTGCATGTCTGGTCTCTGGAACGCATCGTTCGAGACTCGCACGGTTGATGATCTCGATATGTATGATTTCGACCGGGGAGTTGACTACAGCGCCAGCCCGTATGCCGAGCCATACATGATTACTGGCTATAGGGCTGCCGCTCAAACTAGCAAAGGGCTCTCTGACGGAAGAGACGGGAATGTAGTAAGCGAGCGCACTACAGGATCGCCATACAGGCTTGCAAATGATCCTGTTTATCGCTCCCAGGGGCAAAGATGGTGGGAGTACGAGCAGTCGGCATCACCCAAGTACTAGTCTGACATGATCCAGAATATGTATCGACGATTGCTCCTTGGGGGTGTGCATCCATCAGACCTACAAATCATTGCTCACAATGTACAGAAATCCCATCGCTGTCACGTCAGTCTGCTTGTGCACTCTTTCGGGGCTCCAATACTTTCGGACTGCGCAGTCGGGAGGCCTTCAAGAGAAATGACAGCGCAGCATAAATATAGAATACCACATATATCACAGTCCTTTAACAAAAAGTCATCGGCCATGGAGTCTCTTAGGCAATGTGATATCGATATAATCCGAGCCGTGTGATGCCCATGCGAGATTGATGGGGACCAGAAGAAGGGAATTTTATTTTCTGACTAGTGCCACCCCTCTGAACGAATTGGGAAATTGGAGCAGAGGTTTATGCACATGCTAGAGCAAATTTATATACTATTTCTCCATCCTGCTGGATCACCCTGACATCTTAACCCAAGGGTTGCCTCATTTTCGTTCAATCCTCCGCCCCTTTCCTACTGGCACACAACTTCTGGCTGCAAGAGTCATGAATAGAATCGTGATCCGAAGGAAGGGAGGAGGGAAAGAAGGAAAGAATTTGACGCAACTACCACCACACAAGGGATGGACGGCACCGGAGAATCGAGTTAGCGAGTGGCTCAGCGAATGCCATATCTTGGATCGTAGAGATTGTTGCCGGTTGGTATAACGAAAGCTCCCATGGTTGTGGCAGGAATACCGTCAAGGAATCGCATATGTGGCATAAATCAATCTGATCTCCAGAGAGAAGCGAAGTAATAGCAAGAAAAAAATTGAGAGAGGAAAGAAACGTGTAGATGCATTCAAGGCCCTGGAAGGGCAGAATCCGTGGCCGAGGAAACGGCCACTTTGATATGCCACGCTGGGGCACGCTACTCGTCATCGAGTGCTGCCATGGCCTCTGCAAGAGCATCAGCGGAGCGTTTGACCTCATCGACAGCCTCAGCGGCTCGCTTGATCTTCTGGCATGGTTGACCAGGCAGGTAGCACCATTTCTGCAACTTGGCTGGAGAAGCCTCTGCCATAGCCTCGGCCAAGGCATCAGCTGAGCGTTTGACTTCTCCAGTTACATCAGCCGCACGCTTCATCATGGCACAAGGCTGGCCAGGGAGGTAGCACCACTTTTGCACACTGACAGCTTGCACAGTAGTGGCAGCAAGAGTGGCAAGCATCAAGGATAGGAGCTTCATGGCGGCGGTTGAAGGTTGGCAGAGGCAAAAAATGGTATTTTGTTTGATTTGTTTTTGAATGGACAGATATGACAGATTTGCTTGCTTTCTGGCACCGTACAGACCATGGCAGTACGGAAGGGAGAAGCATCTTATTTACGAGTGACTTGCACATAGCGAAAGGTGCTGTCATGATCATTGAATAGGCGTTTCAATAGAATGGGTTTATATTGATTAGATTGGTGGACCCACAAAATGTGTTGGCGAAGGCAAAACTGATGGCCCTGTTGGGGACTAGAAGGAAAGAATAGAAAAGAAGCATCAATCATGGAGACATAAAGAAGAGCCAATGGCATGAACTAGAATGCTTCTTTTCTGCTGTCAAATAAGCAAGAGGACGGCAGCCTGATATTTTTGGCGGACGCATGAATCTGGTACTAGAGTGGATTCGTATGGTAATGGCTAGCCGAGACCGTGAGTATAGTGAAAACTGAGAGGAGCATTGCATGTTGCCTTGTGGTTCTTGAGATCCCTGCCGTTCGCTCGATCAGGGCCTGAATAGAGATGAGGTTCAAAGGTGTGTTCAAGAGAACAAGAAATAATGGGATCAGCTAAGCCTTTCCCAATTCAGCCCTCAATAAGTTCAAGTTGATTCAGCTGAAAGAAAAGTTCACATTCAAACATCCATTGATTCAGATCTTAGAGAGATAATGAATGGGATAGATGTACAGTACTACAGACTGCGTCCATTGGTATCCGGTGCAGGAATCTAATCGCGTGGGTCCAAGAAATGATAGCAGTAATCAGCGCTGCAAGAGGAACGACACCGGATACTTTGGCAGTCAGCTCTGGAAAACTATGAACTAGAAGACAGTCTACACCACCTACTTGACACATTTTTGTTGTATTGAGGAGAGATGCTCAATCTTATTACGTAGCCTGTGAATTAGTTCAAGGTTAGCAGCTCCAGCCAGGCACTAGGCAAGAGATAAGATCGGCCCGTGCTGTTGTCAGGGAAAAAGGAAAGGTCATGGTGGATGCCGAGACGATCCGCCCGTTTTTTCCGGCGTCTCGTGCCTCGCTCTTTTCTTGCCGTCCTCCGTCTCTTTCTCCTTCCCGTTCTCTTTGCCAAACCAGTGCTTTTCCGCGCCTCTCCTCTCCTTGCCCTTCTTTTTGTTCACCTCTGCTCCGCCAAAATGTTCTCTCTCCGGACAGCGCAGCCTGCGCAGGTAAGTCAATCAAGAAAACCCATGAATCCTTGCTTTCTTTCTTCCCTGCATCAGTTGATCAATCACTTCCTCTGCATCCTTGCCTATTGGGCCGCACATTATTCCCTTCCGACCCAGCTCTTTAAACAAAGACTCTGGGAACAGATGGCCCAAAGCCGGCTTTCTCCAAACGGATCTTGTTCTTCTTTGACTCTTCTGCTATGTTCTCATCTGTGAAAAAGCGCAATAACTTATCTCTCCCATTTGCCTTGCTACATTCGCCTATTAACGCCTCTGTGACAGTCTCTCCTTCGTCGCGCTGCGGTGCCCACCCTTGCCCGCTCCTCTATCCCCGTTAGATGTGTGTCAACTCCTTCTGAGCCTTCGACACGGTTTGTCAACGATTATCTGTGGCTAACCTTCCGCCGCCAGCCTTTGCTAGCGTTCAGTCGGACATTTTCAAGCCGACCAAATATGGCGGCAAGTACACCGTCACACTCATTCCAGGTACCTTGACCCCAATATCTCTCCAAGATACATCATCGCCCCCTATATTTGGCTCCGGCCATCTTTTCGCTTCGCTCGTCACCACGGATGCTGACCTGAAATCAACTATTATCACAGGCGACGGAATCGGCGCTGAAGTTGCTGAGTCGGTGAAAACAATTTTCAAGGCCGACAATGTCCCCATTGAGTGGGAGCAAGTGGATGTTAGTGGTGTGGACACCGGCAATAAGCACTCGGAGGAACTCTTCAAGGAGTCCATCGCATCTCTGCGACGGAACAAGCTGGGTCTCAAGGGTATCTTGTTCACTCCCGTTGAGCGCTCCGGTCACCAGTCATTCAACGTTGCTCTTCGTCAGGAGCTCGATATCTTCGCGTCGGTTGTCCTCATTAAGAATATTCCCGGCTACAAGACACGCCACGAGAACGTTGATCTGTGCATCATCCGTGAGAATACCGAGGGTGAATACTCCGGCCTTGAACACCAGTCCGTGCAAGGTGTTGTGGAGTCACTGAAGATTATTACTCGTGCCAAGTCTGAGCGCATCGCCAAGTTCGCCTTTGGTTTCGCTCTTGCCAATAACAGGAAAAAGGTCACCTGCATCCACAAGGCTAACATCATGAAACTTGCGGATGGTCTGTTCCGCAGTACCTTCCACAAGGTTGCTGAGAACTACCCAACTTTGGAGGTCAACGACATGATTGTTGATAACGCCTCCATGCAGGCTGTCTCGCGCCCCCAGCAGTTTGATGTGATGGTCATGCCTAACCTGTACGGTGGTATTCTCTCTAACATTGGTGCTGCCCTCGTTGGTGGTCCTGGTGTGGTTCCTGGTTGCAACATGGGTCGTGACGTCGCTGTGTTCGAGCCCGGATGTCGCCACGTCGGCCTTGATATCAAGGGCAAAGATCAAGCGAACCCCAGCGCCATGATTCTGTCCGGATCTATGCTTCTTCGCCATATTGGTCTAGATGATCACGCGAACAGGATCTCGAAGGCGGTGTATGACGTGATTGGTGAAGGGTAAGTCGTTTTCTCGCCAGTCCCAGGGTCATTGCGGACTTTTGACTAATGCTTCGTTCGTCAGTAAAACAAGAACTCGTGACATGGGCGGTCAGGCCACCACCCACGAGTTTACCAGAGCCGTTCTTGACAAGATGGAGGCTGCTCTGTAAAGAACTTTCTCTTTGAACTTGCTACTATTATGATGATGAGAGCTTGTATAGGCCCGTAAACTGTTAATCTATTCCTTGCCTGGTAGACTATGCTCATTTCTGGTACTGTCGCTATATGTTCTTATCATCCACATGTACACCACCAATTTGTCCTGCACAATACAAAATCCTCGGACAAAATCGTAGAACAAAGCACGCAGGACGAACGTGACACAAGTAAACAGCGACCCATGAAGGATTCCCAGCTGTCTACTAACCTGCACATTTGAACCCTTAACAGCAATCCGCTAAGTTTTAGCTATAATCCACTGGCAGAGTGAACAAATACCCAAACTTATGCGTAAATTCAGGGTCTCGGTTAATCCAAATCGCTCACTAAATGAGCTGGTGAAAAGACCTGGAGGAATAATGTCCAACGAAGCAAATTGCACTGCATCACATGCAATGCAAAAGCCATGCAGATGTTGCTATACACCTCTTCCGTGCGTCAGGCCGGCTTTGATATGAGCTGCTACTTTGACAGACTCGGTGCGGCTAGCCAAAGTGGCTATGCCTTAGTTGATGCCACAATCTGCAGAAAAAATCTGTTTGTAACAATAAAAGGATTGATGTCCTGCGCAGAACACTCGGGCAGGCCACATGAAATGCGATCAAAATGCAGGGCGCCGTTTTCTGCCAGTGTATTTCGAATTTGCTTTGACCACCTTGCCCTTCCGGGTCATTTGTTCTTTCTTACGCAAAATCCAAGCCTTGTCGCCTTTCCGAGAGGGCAGTGCTCGCCCCTTTTCAGTGGCGCTTTTTCTAGCATCAAGGACATCGACATCGCTCATGCCATTCACAACCCCGGTAATGTCACCCTGCAGCCCGCCACCACCAACTGTGAGAACGAGGTACAACTTGCTGTTCTTCGTGCCGGGATCATCTTCTAGGATACCTGCACCGAAACCGGCCTTCATAGCAGCTCCACTGATCATGCTTCGCTGAGCATCATTCTTTGGGTAGAATTGACAGACTGCGCGGCCCCCGCGTCGAAGACTAGCATAGAGGCCCTCGAAGAATCTCCGCAATCGGCCCTCAGCGCTGACATCACTCGATTCTGCATTGCACAGCCACTGAATTGCACTGATGCTGATCGCTGCGTCTAGTGATCCGGCGCGTAATGGCACGCCCTGGCCGAGATCGGAAAGGAATAGGTCGCTTCCGATATCGCGCTGAACCGCTATATCAAGCATTGAAGCTGAAATGTCAAGGCCGATGACTTGGTGACCGCCTGCAGATATAATTTCACTCGAGAGACCAGAGCCGCAACCAGCGTCTAATATAAGGGATGGGGTTCGTAGATCGAGGAGCTCAAGTGCTCTGTGCGTCATCTCTGCTTGCACTCTTTTGATTCTTGAGTTGGAGGTGTATAATGACGCTTCGCGGTCATTATAATATAGATCGGGGGGTCTATAATAGTCATTGATGTTAGTATCAGGTAGAAGGAGACAGTACTGCAGAACATACAGGATGTCTTCGGGACGTGACATGATTGACTATGACGATAACAGAGGGTTTCTCTGTGATAAAACTGATAGACTGGGGATTGTATCTCGCTGCCGATGAGAGAAAGGTAGAATCACTGGAAAACTCAAATAGTTCCAAGGAGGTCTTAGACAAAACTTGACTCGGGGTTTGAAGTCAATTAGCTGTCGGCGGCACAGAAGAAAAAAAACGGAAATTCCCTGGCCGCCTGCGGGCCCGCACCTGCCGACCCGACCCTGTATGGAACTCCGCCACGACACGCATGCAGTATATCTAGGCCACCTGCTTTCTTCCTCCTTTTCATCCTCGGTGGCAGCGGTGGCTAATATTAGCTTTCTCTATGTGACCGCGAGAGCTTTCAAAGTCATTTCTCCATCTTAACCTCAGTCCAGAAGACCGAGCCGCTTGCTGCTTGATCTGACCAGCTGTTCGAATTCCCTCGAGAGAACAAGCGACTCCAGGGTCCCAGCCTGTGCCCACTGCCAATACAGATCATGTGGATTTTCCCGCTTGTAGGGTACTTGGGGGTGATTGTAGGATTTGCTTTCCTCACCCTAGCAATAGGTACGTACAAAGTACGACAAATGGGAACGACGCTGATGCTGTTCGCCGTATACCCCTGGGTTCCGGAGAGTCGGAAGTTTGGCTCCAGTGTTAACGTACTCTAGCTTCGGGGCTATATTACCTGTCAGAGCTCGTGGAGGAACACACCGTCCTTGCGCGTCGGTTACTGTCTCGGCTGATTTACAGTATAATCCTCGTTCAGATGCTTCTCGTCGTGTTTGATCGGTTTCCTCTCGGCCTCTCAGCCCTAAGTATCGGTTCCCACCTTGTATATGCCAGCAATTTGCGCCGCTTCCCAGTTGTGAAACTATCCGACCCCCTCTTCATCTTGTCGTGTGTTCTCGTGGGTTTGAATCATTGGCTCTGGTTTCGCCACTTTTCACAGCCATTGCCCTCGACACGAAGCCCAACAAGCTGGCGACACCCATATCAAGTCAACGTCGAAGATATGCCAACTTTCACCGAAGTGGCATCATACTTCGGGTTATGTGTTTGGCTGGTCCCTTTTGCGCTCTTCGTCAGCTTAAGCGCTGGGGAAAACGTTTTGCCTAGCATGGGTTCCGAGTATGTGACAGGGGAGCACGTTCCTGGCTCTGCATTCAGTAGCAACGCTTTGTCATCAGATAGCAGGTCTAAGAATAAGGGAATGGCGAAGGCGTTGGTGGATGGCTTCCGGAATTGGGTGAGCGAAAATGGGGAATTGATGGGATTTTGGAAAGGTGAACGGTCGAAGAGATTCTAGGTCTTTAATACATGTCTTTCTGCTCAACATCTGTATGTAATATAAATTGCACCTTGAGATATGGCACAAGTTGTTTTATCCCCTATGTCCATCCTACGATAGAAGTGATTATGGAATCTGTTGATTAGAGGTTATGATCCGCTCATCGGTTTACTAGGAAGGAGTATGTTAAAATAAGGCTAAGGTACCACCTAAAAGAACGAGCCTGTAGTCTTCAAAAGTGACTCGGGCATATATATTTCGCTGCAATGAGAAGATATATATGAACAAGAGAAAGAGAAGCCGAGGAGAAGCTCCGATGCATTTGAAACGTGTAGGCACGGCGGGCAGAAACCAAAATTTCAATTGCAAGGCTGGGGGTATAGGTATGGTCTCTGAACTTCGCTTTGTCGATTCTGAAAAGACTTGAGCGAGCAGATCGGTAGAATACGCCCATCCAAGTCAGTACCAACAATCCATGAAGCTCTTTGTTGGCCGGCTTCTAGGGAGTGTACAAAAGCCATTCTCATATTATCATTAGTATTAAACGTTTCAATGCCGTGCCTGTCAAGTGTTGTCAGGCTAAACATACAGTCATTTTGTATTCGTTGGACCATTAAGCTGGTCATTAGAACAGAGACATGCTAGGTGAGTTCGATGGATGAAAGAACCGAAAATCGAATGCCAAGCAACCAGCAGCTGACAAAGCAGAAAAGTTAAGCAGACGGAGGAAAGGCGTAAGGAGACGAGCCATATAGCATCAAGCATGAGAAAGTACTGAAGAGTATATAGACAGTAACCAATCACGGACTGGGTGAGTGGGTAGAATGTGCAGTGGACTTCACAGCATGCAGAGCCTGCCTCGCCGCGAGGCTGACCCCAACGCCCGGTAATTTCAGTTTGAGTCATCTTGCACCGGAGGTGAAAAGGTATGGTTGTTGATATCCATAAACAGTAGAGAGCTTTCTCTCCTTTTGGACTTCGTAGAACGCATTTTGTCAATATTCGGCGACAGCATCGACCGGTTTGATTGGGACACCTCGGACCTAGCATTACTACTGGATATCTCGTAGCTCTGTTGCGTGAAGCTAGACATACACTCTGATAGCATAGAAGCATCCTGTGTATAACCCGGTTGCTCCTGATTCCCTATCGGACTATATTTGGATGTAGTTGCATCTGGCAGCACCTGATGGTAAGGAGAACGGGACTCTTCTGGAATGGCGGCATAGTCATCACGAGACTTCCGTGACTCGTCACCAGAAACTGGTGGCTTATTAAAGATCTCTTCATAATCAGTGAGGAAAGTGGAGAAGACTGGCGCTGGTATGTTGAGGGTGGGTGCGAAAACAATGCCGACATTTCTGATCGTCATCTTATTAATGTCGGAATTGTTCACAATGATCATCAGAAACTGGGCTAATGCACGTAGCAAAGCAAGATTCGGCTTGGGTAATCGGTGGACAAGGACATTGAATGCTGCGATCTTCTGTTTCTTCTCCTGGAGGTCTAGGTATATCATGAGCAACGATCTTAAAGCTATAAAGTCAATATTTACTCACCGAGGACTCGCAGGAAATCCAAGTGCAATTCACGGGTTAGGACGGTCGTAGGAAGCTCCCGGAGGTATTGTTTGAAAAGAGATGCAACAGCATGCACATCATGGTACTCATCATCGGCCAGGAAATCCACGTCGCCCTCATTATTGAAACGTTCCTTTAATGCTTTCACAACGACATTGGAACCACTCAGACGGAAGATCCCCTCCTCCGACTCTGCACCCTTCGCTTTCAGATACTCTATGCAGCGATAAACCACAGCTGGTAGTCCAACATCAAGGCCCCGAGGCGCGCACAATTCCACGGCCTCGGCCAGGGACAGACCGAAAACGGGTCTAGTAGAGTCTCTTTTCTCAAATGTATTGAGAATTTGAGATGTTGAGCCATCATAGGCTGCCTGAAGTTGTGAGGCTAGATCCATCGATGATCTCGTGCGGAACCCCCATATACTCCGTTTCTTCTCTTTGACACTTGTTACGGTCTTATTACCCCAGGCCCCTGCGTCCTGTATCACAGCTCCGTTGGTAGGACCAGATATGATTTTCGCCGAGGATTGGCCATAGTCCTGACTGGCATCTTGACCATCTGTCGGTAGGCCTGAAAAGATTACAGGTGATTTAGGGGCCTGCGTGTCCACGGAGGGTCCAATAACTGGTGGTTCGGCAGGAACAGCATCATCATAACTGAATCCTTGGACAGCGTCGAGACCCTCCACATCCGAGTTCTCGAGGCCCTTATTTTGTTTTTTGTAGCTTGTGTTGGCAAACAGCCTAGACTTTGCAGGCGCGTTCGCCGCGGACTTCCCCAAAGGCGTTTGGACTCTAGAGGGCGTGCTGTAAGGCTCATCTTTGTCCTCGGTTCGTGCGTCAACGTACTCCAGGAGCGCGTTAACCCACGTATCCCTTTCTTCATCGCTCTCGGCGCACAAAACATGACGAACAAGAGCGGTGGAATCTTTCTTCTTCGGCTCAAGTATGAGGAAGGCATGCCGGTACTGATTCTCGGTGTCTTCCTCAACGCGAGAAGGAGAATCCGGCTGGCTACTTGAATTTTGAGACTGCTTGCCAATCTGGGCGTTGCAGATCCTGATGGTTCCTAGATGAGGGCCACCTGGCGACTCGAAATACTTAAGCTCAGGGCCGTGCAGAACAAAGTATCTAGCTTTCCATCCACCAAAATTCTTTCCTCTCTTTGTCAAATAACCCTCTTTGCGAGGTTTGCCGTCCGGACCTCGCCGAATTTCAATGCCACCTAGATTGTTCCCTTTGAGCAGGCTTGTCTCGTCGTCTCGAGCTTCTATGGCATCGGAAGTAAGGAATTGACATATAATCATTGCTGCCTTCTCATCCATTGGCGTATCAAGAAGTGATTCAAAATAGGAATTAAGTGCGGCACGTCTCGCATCGACTTTGGCAGGTGAGTGTCCGCTAAATATTGACCTATCTGGTAACCTGCTTCCCCAGAAGCCCAGCTGCCTTAAATTTTGGTCAAGAAGAGGAAGAGCTGCAATGACCTTTTCAACGCGCCAGAGCTCTTCATTACCAGACCTAGAGAATACACCTAAAGTAAAGACTGGCTCCTCTTCCAATGGCCTTGGGGCCAGGTAACTGTTGCGGGAGGGCCGCAGGCGTGAAGACGAGACTTTGACATGAACCAGGGGCAGTGCGTTAGGTGGTAACAAGAGGTCTGGATGGTTCATCGAGACAAGGCCTTGGTAGACACCAATGCCTCTCCAAGGAGACTGAGATGCATCTGTCCTAACAGCTCCATCGATTGAAGGTAATTGTTGAGTGAGAGAGTCGACAGGAGCTGAACCATAGACAGCGCAGTCATCCGTGGTGGTGTACGGACCTGCAGCAGATAGAGTTGGGTGGCTGGCAATGCGAGGAGACAGCGCTAGTCCAGAGAGTGTGCTCTCCGAAGACTTGGGCAAGGAAACTAGAGACGTGGGGATCTCTCTAGGTAAACGCGGCAAAGGGGATCCAAGAGGGCGATCTTCAGGTCTTGGGCTTAATGGTAGTCCAGGACTCTTTGGGATGGCGATTGTAGGATGACCTTTAAGTGACCTTGAACGTGCCACTGGATGACTCGAGTGACGGGAATCCGCGTAATTGACAGGTTGTAACTGTTGTTGATCTGACGGTGGGCTGTGTGCTGTCTTAACCAAGCTTTTATGAGCAGTATCCTTGTCTGTTGCACAAAGCGCCTCACGATTCTCGTCATCTTCGTCTCTCGTTCGTCTCCTGCCGCGGGTTGCCGGGAACTCCTCCACTGCCGAAATGTCCTCATACTCGGAGCCCGAATCAGAATCTTCTACATTGTAAGGAGGTATATGATCAGCATGTCCGAGGTTGAGTGGCGCTGGAGGAGGCTTTCGAGATGGCTGAGACATTCTTTGTGACCTGTCGCTGCTAGGTCTACGATCATCTCCGACCGAGCCAGTGCTTGCAAGGTAATCTTGGTTGACTGTGGACAATCCCTGACGGAGGTTAGAGGACGATTGGTAGCCGTGGGTTACAATGCTTCGATCCGTATGCTGTTCAGGGGGTTCGACCGGCTCGAAAGTAGTTTGCTTGTCGACCGCAAGGACATTGTGCAAGCGATTGTTGCTTTGATGACTATCGAGACCTGCATCATCCGCTAGGGCTGCTTGATACTCCCATTGAGCCTCTTTAGATTTCTCTTGGCCGGATTTAGTGGCTCCATCAATCGCCTGATGTGATGACATGAATTCGCTGGTCGGATTCGGTAGCGGCGGTGGCAGGCTTTGTAATTCTTTGACCTTCTTTCTGTATCGCTCCTTTTCCTTCGTAGCGCGTTCAAGATCTTTATTTAGTCCCAATATGAGCGTGCGCTGCTTGTCCACTAGCCTCCAGAGCTGAGAGTTTTGTGATGCTGCATGATGCTTTTCTTTCAGAAGATGTATGATAACAGCTTCAGCCGATCCCGCAGTAGCTATCAAATTTCCAATGTCAGCCTGACTCAGCGCATTCGCGTCGAATGAAGATTTGTTAGTCTGTGAAGCAGATGACAAGGAGGATATCGCAGAATCGATCGATGACGTGCGCGGCATTGTACGTTGACCCTGTCGCCTTTCTGACATCGACTGTAAAGAGGTAACTGGCGACATTGAGGGAGGCGTCATTGGGGCGTTTAGCTCGGTTGATCCTTGCATCTCGTGCGACTGGTTTTCATTCGATTGTCCGTTCATATCCATATCATACTGCTTCGAGTCACCCCCGCCCACTCCGGCCGCTGTTCTGGAAAGGTTGAACGATCTTGAGCCGCTATCGAAGCGAGAAGCCGGAGATGGTGCATGAGCACGGCAGGCAAGGTAAGAGGCACTTTGGGACGGGGCCACGTTCCAGAGGAATCAAGCCGATATTGGGAGATGGCGAGTAATGAGCAGCGAACTGTTCCAGTGCACTCGTCTGAATGCTTGACGATGACGGTATGGAATAGCGAAGTGAAGGATTGGAGCAACCTCGGAATGAAAGGTCCGCCGGCCGATATCTGAATTTGGCCCTAAATATTCGCGGAGACGAGATCAGTCCCTTGATGGATGAAAGCAGGGGAAAGGGGATGGAACGGACTCTAGACTAGTTAGTGGGTGTTGTCACTGCTTTGCCGCCAACATTGGTTGTTGGGTGGGGAAGGAGAGACCAGGAGAGGAAATAGGGGGAGGGAAGTGACCGGAAATAAGCACGAAGGCAGTCAAGGTCTTTGAGGTTATCTCGCTAGTCGAGTTCACCCTTCATCATATAACGATTCGGACTGGAAAAACCATAAAAACCCACATATATAGTAATTACTAGGTAGTCTTCTAAGTACAGTGTAGACAAGGGCGGGAGGGCGTTGAGAAAAGTAAAACAACTTATCGAGTCCAATGGGCGCTATAAGCATGATTGGACCCGGGCTAGACCTCCCACTGGGTCAATCCACAGGTCACTGCCCACCTGGGCCTTGGCTGCTCTTATCGTCAATAAATTAGCAAACTAGTCTTGTGTTTTTGAACATGATCATACACGAAGCTTATCTTCTGGTTTCAAATCTATTCTGTAGGTCACAAAGGAGCACTGGCTTCATGATTGACTGGGAGCTTTGTGTACTAGTAGATATACAAAAATATGGAGTATAGTGAATGTAGAGAAAAGAGAGAGTGAGAGAGATTTCTCTTCTCGAGAGATAGAGATTTGAGTTTGAAGTATGTGTTGGTAATGATATCCATGTCCTTCCAAGAGTTTCGGACAGGAATTGCAACATTGAAAGAACGCAACGCCCCAAGTATGAATCCCTTGATCTACATTGAACGCCTTTGTAGCAGTACCCCACTGCAGTAATATGAACGCCAAGTAACCCTTGCAAAAATAGAAACTCAGGCTATGTTTCCAGCCATGCCCATGAAGATGGCCTGGGCGGCCAGCTGAAGTGACCAGAAGCCGACTTTCTTGAAACGACGCTTCCGAGCTTGTTCATCCACAACATCTCGAGCGAAAGCATCGTAGACCTGATTGACGTTAGCATAGTATTTTGATCCGCCGTGATGTGAACTTACTGCCGCCGAAAGGTCGTCCATCAAGCCGCTATCAAACGTCGTCCAACTGCCGTCGAAGTCACCGACCCGCTTGACAAGTCGACAATTTACAGGAATGAACGTGCGCCTTGAATTAATATATGCAACAATGGGGCGGATTAGTGCATTGTTGATGTAAGACAAATCCCGCGTGAACAGGGGAACCACTGCCTTGACATTGTTCAAATGGAGACGTAGATCAGTAACCAGGAAACGCTTATCATGCTCGGAAGCGATATCGCTAGGTGATGACTTGGAAGATGCTGGGTCGTGGTGATTGTTCGAAGTGACGGTGGCCTCCAGCCGATCATAAAAGTCGGCCATAACCTTAGCCAGACTTTCATCATTTTCGGCTGGGAACATGGTATCGGCAACGATATCGACTGTACCCTCGTGTATCCAGGAGAAAGGTCCCTGGACCCCACGATTTAGATGATCAATGTTGAGCCCGTCCACACGTATCCTGCTATGCTTTTTCCACGGGCTGGACTTGCCGTCCTCAGTGCCACTGTCGAGCTGTGCACCGGTAAAGCCGTGTGTTTGACGGGGATGGATGGTAAAGAGCGAATTATCGAAAGATCCAGACATCATGTTGGCCGACATGAAGTCATAAAGGAGCCACTGCTTTCTCAGTTGAGGCAAGTCGCAAGAGAAGATACTAACAGGGAAGGGCCTGAAACCGTCTGGCTGATAGACTGTCACCAACACGTCGCTCATTTTGAATGAGTCGATCTCAAAGTCCCCGGGGTGGTGTTCATGCCGGTACGATTTGGGATCCAGGTCATCATCCGACCAATGAACATAACGGCGGTCAATGACTCCCCTGATGCCTCTTACCTCAACATCGCGAAGCAGCCCCTTTCCGTTTATCCATTTGGTGAACGATAGGGTGACATTGACAGTTTCGATTGACACGTCGAACTGCGTATAATTCGTATCTTCCTCGTCCGACGACGTTCGCTGATCGGGAAGCTCATGACTGGGCTCGCCCCCTAGAGCTGCAGCTGCGGCCACGGCCGCAGCGGTCTTCGACGATCCTTTACTGACGTTTCCTGTCCCTTGGCCTGGCCGCCTTGAAACGAAAACGTTCTTGAACGTGATCACGCCATCTCTCCATTTAGGAACAATAGCAGATTCAAACACAACCTTCACACCAGATGACTTGGTTAGATAGTTACCTATCCACCCTGCTAATGTTTCTGTGCATATTTAGTGATGAAAAGACAACGGCAAAGGTACTGGGTGACAGACCTTGAGCAAAAACCGTGTTGATTGCGATAATAAGCAACGAAAAGAAAGTTGTAGTTCCCAACACAACCCAGACTACATGCCCGAGAAGCACCCAAGAGAAAAGAGCTGTGATCTCGTCCAAGTTGAAAGGCCGAACGCTCCGTATCGAAAACCACTTAAATCGCACCTTGAGTCTGGACCAAAAGCCATTTGCCGCTGCCAGCAGTTCTTCCTTTGAGGGTCGATGCAAATGAGGCATGTGCGGCAAGCGGTTGATTAGATGGCGATTAGCATATAGCTTTTGGTGAGCATCATTCGAGGATGGCAAGTATTCGCGGCCTTGGGTGACCTCATGTTTGTCGCCTGTGGGCATAGAATGGGTTATGCGAGTGGCACGAGTAGGTTCAAAGTGATCTTTCTGGGTCTTCGTCTGATGGCTCTCATCATTGTGTGTATGTAGTCTGCGCTTCGACGCATTCTGGAAGGATATCAGAAGTGGTTTGCGGCCAAGGTGATATAATAATCTCTTTGGAGATGTAGTACATGTTGAACGAGTCTCCAGTGCAGTTGAGTTTGGAGAAGCTCCGAGCACAAGACAAGCCCCATAGGCAAAGCGTCTCGTAGCCCTGTTAGAGATCTGAGATGGGTGATATGGTTTCTCCGCGCACGGGCATTTAGAGAAAAGCCTCGAAGAGAAATTGCCTGGATTCAGTGGTGTGCGACTGGCTTGTGATCCATGCCCGAGAAGCGGGTTCAGTATGGCGTACAGCCTGCGTGTGAAATGGCCAGACATTATCTTCTTCCTCACATAATGGAAAATGAATGTTTTGCTAAAGGCGCAAGCCAGCAATCAGTAAATGGATTGACAAATCTGAGGCGGACTGAACATATACCAGTTTGCAGAGGCAGGAATTTGCCCACTAGGTCTTTGATACAGTCTTCGGAGACACTAGTAACTTTGAGGAAATACATGAGCATCATAGATCACGTGAGATGCATACCTTGCTTATGTTATTACATCTCCAAGCGGGCTGATAGGTGAATTCTTGTCATATGAATAGATGTGCAGTAAGTTATACCGATCAATACTGCCAAGACTCGTATGCCTCTGAGTTCCTGTTTCCCCGAATTTTCTTCTGTCACATCACACACCACTAATTTAGTCACTCGACTCGCTCTCACTTCACCGGGTTAACCCATATCACAATGCCTGCACCCACAGCTATAAGGCAAACTGCCGCTGCCTCAGCGGCACCAGTCGCACCTGCGGCAGGTCAGTCAATATCTTGCCGGCTAATGTTGCTTAACCAGGCTAACAGCCTTTCCAGACCAAGATGAGGAAATCTTGATCGATGCCCAGCCTTCAACTGATGGGGCTGCACCGGCGTTTAACTTTGCATCCGATCCAGCCCACGATGCTGATGTACATATCGATGAAGAGGGACGGCCTGTTTTTACGCCGGCGAAAGATGTCCACCGCGTACACCGAGTCGAAGCCCGAAAAGTCCCCGTTCCGCCGCATAGAATGACTCCATTGAAAGCTAGCTGGTCACGAGTGTACCCTCCGCTTGTTGAACACCTCAAATTACAAGTGAGGATGAACATTAAGAATCGAGCAGTCGAACTCCGTACATCTCGATTTACAACCGATACAGAGGCCCTGCAAAAAGGCGAAGACTTTGTCAAAGCCTTCACGCTAGGGTTTGATGTCGATGATGCTATTGCACTGTTGAGATTAGACGATCTATACATCCGCTCTTTTGAGATCCGCGACATCAAAACACTCAATGGAGAGCACCTCAGCCGTGCAATTGGACGCTGCGCTGGCAAAGATGGGCGAACCAAATTTGCAATAGAGAATGCCACCCGCACAAGGATCGTCATTGCAGACCAAAAAATTCACTTGCTAGGCGGCATCAAGAACGTCGAAGCTGCTCAGCAGGCCATTGTCAACCTGATCATGGGTAGCCCACCAGTAAGTATTCACATCCTTTCAGTACACAGAATCTGCTGACTTGTAACAGGGAAAAGTGTATGGCAATCTTCGTAAAGTGGCTTCACGAATGAAGGAGCGCTTCTGATTGACTATACCTGACTCTCCTTTGTTTTTATTCCGTCTTGTTCTGTCCTATGACATGGTTTTGGCGTTGTGGGAAAGGTGATATCTGATTCAATAAAATTCAATGAGACGATGACACAACATTCACTTGAAAATAGCCTGTATTCAGTAATAAGTCCACTACTAAGGATGCCGTCCACTTTTGCTATCATTCGCAAATCATACTGGGGCAAGGGGACACGCTTCAATTTAGTCCTTCTTCAGAGGATAGTAGATCTCCTCTATACCTCCGCTAGTAATGACCATCATCTGTAGACCATCACCAACTTCAATATGCCTTTCAACGGCACTTGTGAAAGCATCTCGTACGAGCTCCTCAACAGTGTCTCTTGACAATGGGTCTGCTTTCTTGGGCTCCAGAGCATGGCCTTCACCACTGCCAGGGATGTACTGGTTTTTGAAATTGACCTGGTTGTCCAAGAATGGCATGATCAAGCTCGCGGCAGACCCAGCTGCTCTGCATTGTTCTCTCTCGTACGACCCTACTGGATCGTAGCTGTACAATGCACCTCTGCCATCCTCATCCAAGCCTGCTAGAATAGCATGCACGTAGTAGGGAAAGAACCGTTTCTGATAGAGGATCGTCGACAGGCGCTGTGCACAAGCTCCAACGGACATTGACTTCCCGTGCTGATACTTGTACATCTTTACCACAGCGTCTAGCCTTTCTTTGAGTGCTTGGCCATCTGCGGCGAAGCCGACGACCGACAGGAGAATGTGAGCACCCTCGCCAGTTTCATCATCACCTCCGATTTTGAAGACTTTCGGAACGTATCGAGAGTTGATGTTGTAGCCTGCAACGGACCGAGTGTCACCAGCAAGGATAGCGAAGTTGGAGCCAGTGATGCCCAAGGTTGAACCGCCATTGTCGGTGTACCTAGCTCTGAGTTAAGACTGGGCAGTCATGAGTCTGTAACAGAGGGCCTTACGGGTAGAATGAATGCTCTTTGTTCGGAACACTCGTTGGCTGAGTGAAGGAATATCCGATGGCTTCACCGTGAGGTTGACTGAGCAAAGTCGCCATTGCTCACAAAAAATTGTTTAGAGGACGGAAGACAACTAGGAAAGAAAGGTATTGCTATGCGAAGTAGAAAGGTGAAATGGATTCTTGCAGCACTTTCTATTACCGCTACGGCAAGCGGTAGATTCGGGAAGAAGGTTGGATGTTGATGGAATAGCTGAGCTCGGGCTGCTGACGCGATTGAGCTGCCTTTTGCTTATCTAAGAAATGTATCGTCCCTCCGTCATTATCTCATCTCATGATAACACCCTACAGAGGCAGTCCATCTCTTCCAGCCTCTATGCTTAATTGTGTTCTCACATGATTTCAGCTCCAGTAGCTCCAAGACACAGATCCTTGTAAGAGTGTTACAGGTGTTGGAAAGGTGCAGTTCCCTGTGAAGAGATGTTGGGTCTTGCGGCCTATGAGAGCAGCAGTGAAGATGACGCTGGTCCCAATCTAATTTCCTCCGAGACAAAGGTAAAAAGAAAACGGATCTTCCGTATTGGAATACTTACTGATGTGCCTCGCTAGCAAGGAAAAGAAGGCCATCTTGCTCAAAACCCCAAGGCAACTCAAATTTCAGGTGAGTATGCGAAACTCTCCATCCTTCTAGGACTCTTCAAGGTCTAATGAAATCTGCTTGAAGCACTACCCGAGAAAGAAACAAGATTAGAGCATGGTTCCATGCCAGAAGACAGACCTGTTTTTGGTCCATCGCATGAGAGCCCTCACGATGCACAAAAATCCTCACCGACTGACTATATAACACTGTCCGCATCTCGTACTATAATCCATGACTTAACACTTCCCCCTGTCCCGAATCTAGACATCCCTCCATCGCCTCCAAGCTCGCCCGACCCCTCCGCGGATGCAAAGTTTGCCCATTTCTTGTCATTGAAGAAACAAGGTGTCCACTTTAACGAAAAGCTCTCGGGTTCTGCGTCCTTGAGAAATCCCAGTTTGTTGAAGGCAATGATGAACCATGCAGGAATCGATAATCGGGCGCAATACCAGGCTGCACTACCACCGGCCATTTGGAACGCGCCAGACTTACCGAGCTGGGGATTCATGGAAGAAATCAGGCAGGCACAACGAGACATCCAGGGTACGATGGAAGAGAGGAGGCCAGCACGATCACGAGAGGAGATTGCCTTTGTGGCTGCTACATCTTCCTTACCATAAGACCATCCACATGTTCAAGAGCCCTGAGGGTAAGACTCGTAACGTGCACAAAGCTATTAAGTTGCAGCATATGGCATGAAAAATAATAGAAAGATCGGATTACACGGGGGATCCAGTGGCCATGCCAGAATTTGACCCTGTAGGAATCTGTGCATTTGAGAGTACAAAGAGATGAAATCGACATTTTAAGCTACAGCCTATCCGGTCCTTTCAAATCAGTGCCATACGACCCACTGCTAGATAGTGATGCTAATTACTGTGAAGGATTTATCCATGGGATCAATCAATATAACGATTCCTTGGGTAGGCTATGATACTCTGGGGGGAAATCTTGCGCGCCAACACCGTACGGTTTCTGTCAGGACTCATGCTAGCACTTATAGAGGCATGTACTAGAGAGATAGAGATCCCAAAAAACATAAATACACGGTGTCATAAATAGCCTGACCTAACTTACAGTGGCTGGTAGGGCAGGGCATTTTAAATAAAGTCGCGCGCGGGCTGCATTCGGAGACAACCTCGTACCCACATCCTTCTGCTCCAAGGTAAAGCTGCGGTTTCCGATGTGGGCGAGGCCGCGCAGGATCGACAACCGGTAAAGATTGTATATCAAGCGGTTGATTGAAATTGATTCAGTCGTCCGAGATGTCATGGGCATAGGATGAAGAGCCTTACAAAACAAACAAGACAGCAATGCCCGTCCAAGCACAGCCACTCAAGAACCAAAAAGTAGCTAGACCAAATTTTGAAGCCCAGTATAAAATCAACAGGCCCCATTAACCAGGTGCCCGGTTTATAATGCCCGTATACTGTTGATCCTGGATTACGTAGCTAGGTACAGTACTTCATACTGTACAGCGTGCGGCTGTCCCAACCAGGAAAGCGGTGTGAGTGTAGACTGGGATTACGCCAAGGTAGCAACGCAACGACGCGGCCTACACTGGCCTATCTTATCCTCTGTTCAACTGTCTCAATTCTATTCCCGACAACCTTCACCAGCAGCATCAAGTTCTTCTGATTGCATCCATCCCCAATCATTCATCCTATTCTAATTCATCGTATCCATTATGAATCATTTCCCTGAAGCTTGGGGCCGGGTAAGAGCACTTTCAGGTTCGGTGCTGCTATCAAGCTAACCATATCCCAGCCCCGGGACGACGTGTATGGTCCTTACAACCCTTCATACCTGCAAACTACCGGCCCCAAAACCCACACCCAGTCACCAGCAGTCACTGGGTCTTCGATATTGGGAATCAAATTCAATGGAGGATGTGTCCTCGCTAGTGATAACTTGGGTATGATTCTAAACACTGCTGAAAGCGATAGAGTTGCCCGCCTAACATATTCTTCTTTGAACATAGCTTCATATGGATCTCTTGCTCGATTCACCGATGTCAAACGCCTCCGTATATTTGGTGACACTGCTCTCGTTGGCTTTAGTGGGGACATCTCCGACATGCAGTACATTGATCGTCTATTGGATTCCATTGACATCAGAGAAAACTATTCGGCCCACGGCAACACACTCAATGCCAAAAACCTCCATACCTACCTGTCCAAGGTCCTTTACAAGCGGCGATCTGAGTTCAATCCCCTCTGGAATCACATTTTAGTTGCCGGCTTCGATGATGACAAGAAGCCGTTCCTCAGCTCTGCGGATTTATTGGGAACCACATTCTCCGCACCACATCTGGCCACTGGCTTTGGCGCCCACCTGGCTCTCCCAATTCTTCGCCGGCTATTTCCCGAGGAGAGACCTATCGAGGAGATCAGTAAGGATGAGGCCATTGCGGCGCTCCGTGAGTGCCTGAAGGTTCTCTGGTACCGCGACGCGCGAAGTCTTGACAAGTACACCATAGCAGTCATCACAGCTCAGGGGATTGAGATCCAGGAGGACCAACAGGTCGAGGCTCAGAGCTGGGCATTTGCTGAAACCATCAAAGGTTACGGTGCTCAGGTTAACTAGCTCACTTGTTGATTTATGATGCATGAACCCACTTCCGGAGCTTACTACATTTGCTCTCGCCTGTGTAACAGGACCTTAGGAGCCCGAGATAAATCAAGTAATATGAGAAGAAAGTGCTCGTTGGATTCTCTATAGCATGCCGTTAAACCGCCTCTGAGATTGTGGGCGGCCTATATGATGCTACCTTAGCTTTGTTCCAGCAGGTGCTGACATCAGGTGCAAGGGAGACAGCCCTTCATCGAATCGTCATCTTTGACCATAACACAGATTAGTGTCTTATGTCAACATCCGAGGGCCTATGCATGGCATGTAGTCTTAAAAAGGCTGGAATGGGATATTGTCATTCGGTCTGGCGACGGAGGTAACAGATTAGAAGAGGACGGGACATTAGTTAAGGCCCAGGCAGCGAACCGTACTGATGTTCTCCCGCGCCAAGGGGGCTCGAAGCACTCCCACTTCAGCGATCTAGTCCTTGACATAAGCCTGCTAATGTCATCCTGAGTGACTCGTGCTTACCATGTAGCCTGTGCAACATAGCTAACGCCGGCCGGCAAGCATGAGAGCATCGCCGTAGTATGTGCTCCGTCTTCAAGTAAGAATGAACGGGTACAATGCTCTGTAGAATCGGCTATTTGGCTAAGGATAGTAGGGCGGGTCGGACTCGATCCGGATCTTGCTAGGTATGATACGAGACTGAGTACTCTGGGACCTACAGAGAATGTAGCCATTAGGGTAATCGTTTATCTGGTAAGTAAATACAGAAGTCTAGCAAGTATCAAGGAGATTTCCTCTATCAGAAGTATCCGTGAGTATAACATTACATATATGCATATCATAGTGTGGGGAAGGTTGCGGAGGGGGAGCGTTCTCGGCCCGAAAAAGTGTCAGAATACGATAAGGTAAGCTGACCCTGGGTGTCTGGCTCTGCATCACCAAGATAGATCCTTCACCGTTTATTATTGCTCCACAACGTGTGACCTTCCCACTCACACAATCCTGCGCAAAACATCGCTGCACACATTCAATGGCACGATTGTCAGGTCTTCAGCGGGAGGTTCTATCCCTGTATCGGAAATGTTTGAGAGAAATCCGAAAGAAGCCTGTCGTAAGTCAAATTAAGCAATAACCGTGACGGAAGAAGTGTCTGATATGATATGGTCGATGCCCTCCCGGTACTAGGATACCCAACAGAATTTCAGAATATACGCTAGGTGCATTGCGACCAAACCAAGTCACTGTACACCACTGATTTTGAGACAGAAACGAGTTTCAGAGGCACATGAAAATCAGCAAAAAAGACTTCAATGCGATTGAATATCTGCTACGCAAAGGGCACCGACAGGTTGAGATGTATTCTTCACCGGGCATACGCAACATCCGCTAATTCATGCGGTGATGCTTGAATTTGGTGCAAGCGATATGCTTATCTTGACCAACTGTCAGCTCAAAGGGGCGCCTGACAGGACAGGACAGCTGACCAGCAACTGAGTGACCTGGTTACGTCATCCAAGGCTTGGATTATCAACTGAGTAGTGAAGTTGCCTCTAGCCGCCTCCCGAAGCTCATGGAATCGTCCAGAGGCACCAAGTAGGAACGGATATGAGCTTTATCAACCCTCCAGATAGTGCCAGAATACTCGTGCTAGTTCTCGGTGTAATACTTAGCTACTCAATAACACGATGGTAAACGAAGTATATAACTAGCGCATTGTCAAGGGGTCTTTCTGATATCCCTTCAAGTTCTACAGATTCTGCAACAACGGTCAAATCTTCCTCGCTCATCCATCATTCTATTGAAGTCTAATAACCAATAAGTTCTGCGGAGAATTGGATCTACCACCGTTACTCATATCCGCCATGGCTTACTATCCCCGTTTCACCAACGACATCTCTCCTCTATTCCGGCTACTGGATGACTACGACTGTCATCGCTCTAGCCACGCGAAGATAACACCGACAAAGAAACCTATGTCGCTGAAGTCCGATGTCTTCGAAACACACGATGCTTTTCATTTATCTGCAGAAGTACCTGGCGTTGAATCCAATGATATTCAAGTCGAGTTCTTGGACCCAAATACACTAGTGATAAAAGGTCATATCAGGAGGCATAACAGGCAGACATTCGAGGAAGGTCAAGATCAGGCCCCTGTTGCCAAGTCTCATCACCAGCCAACTGTGGAGGATGAGAATGAAGCGGATGACGCTACGACCTCTCAATCCTCGAGGAACTCCTTGAAGCAACAGCTAGTGACGCCAAGAAAGACCGAGTCTACTTGCAAATATTGGGTATCTGAGCGGTTGACCGGCGAATTCCACCGCGTCTTTACATTTCCGGCGAGAGTGCAACAGGATTCAGTCAAAGCCATTCTCAGAAATGGTATCTTGTCGCTATCAATACCGAAAGAACCCGCTCCGAAGGTGAAGAAAATCCGCATTGAATAGACCATCGAGCTTGACGTTCCATCTCTCGACGATGGTGTCTTTCAGGTGATAGTATGCGCGGAAATCTCTTCGGACACCTCGCACGGATGTGTAAGCCTTGACATGATTGCATAGCAGGGAGTTTGGTTCTGTACTTGTTTGGACATGTTTATGTCGGTTCTGATTGAGGTTTCTTGATGTTTTTTGATACGCTATAGGGAGCTTGGACATAGAACACTAATCGAGCTTCTTGCAATTTATAACTCGATCGTTTTTTTCTTCTCTCGTACGCGTAGGACACAAGTGCAGAAAAAGCCCAAAAGGGCCGTTGAGTTACGAAAGCAGGCACGGCACCTGTCCTCATCGAGTGAGGATGAGCGCCATCATGATGCGTGGAAAGTGTTAACCTGGTTTTCCGCACCGAGGGCCACCACACTCAAGCAAATTTATACATTTGAAAAGGATGCACCGGATGAAAACATATAAAAGATATGAGAAAGAAGAATGGTCGATCAGAAGAACGGAGCACTGTTCCCTGATTATTTCGACAGTCTGCCAAATTTGACAATCATTGAAACAGGTAAGCTGTACATGTGTGCAAGAAAGACACGTGGTATAGGTTGCTAGCATAACCAAAGCAAAGCTCAACTCGGTTGAAGAAAGATGGTATCGTAGCAAAGACGCATAACATGAAAGGAAGATGAAATATGATGTTTGGTAGCACAAATATCAGAGAATGCCGAGCAGGTATTATGAAAAGAATTATAGAGAGCGAAAAGAAATGTCCATTCGGTAAGGATGTACGACATTAAGTTGGTCAGGGATTGTAGTATCATGGTGGCTGGACATCGACAACCTAGACAGCCGTGAACGTTATAAATGCCTCGTCAGTCGGCGCCCCTGATGCTCGATGGTTCGACTTCGGGTTCGACCCCGTGAAAATTCCGGGATCATGCTCTCTCCACATGGTTTCAACTTCTCTTCCGAAATTGGCAAATGATATGTGCCAGTGGTCGCTTTGGAAAGCCAGAAATCGCTATGTGTGCTGCTTCTGCTGCTGCTGCTGCCGCCACTCAGGGTCCCACAATCACTTGTTGTGCCGATTTGAGAAGTCGATGTCGAGCTGTCTTCAGACAAGGATGGGCATGGCCTACTCTTCTTGTAATGCATGTTGCTGCCTACGACCCCAGCAGGCAAGCGCAACGCGAAGTAAGAGTCAATGGCCTGATGAGACATGGTCCCCTTCCGACTGAGTGGAAGAGAGTCACGAATGTTGTCATTGCTTATGCCAGGATCAGGAAAAAAGTTCCTGTGCCCACTCTGCTGATGTATAATATCAGACGATCGTGGTGTATTTGTCTTCAATCGCGGCGCTGAGCCAGTACCGTTGAAGTTGGAAGAGACGCCTTCATAGCTCCGCAACTGACCACAGTATTGTGGATATGACACTAAACGATCAGGATCACACGAGACTGTAAGCGATGTGCTCCTGGCACGCCTATAATGACGTCGTTGTTGCAAATCGTGACACATAGAAGACACAAAAGCTGGCTGGTCAGGAACCTCAAGCTCGCGGTAACTGCTAGAAGAAGCCTGGAGACTCAATTGTCGATGCATGCGAAGCTGCATTTCTGAAGCCGGCAGTGTTGTAGATTTTAAGGATTCGACGTTTCTTGCCCTATTTCCAGACGTTGGACTAAACGACGGAGTATCAGGCGCCACAAGCACTTGGGAAGGCGATGACCTCATAGCTTGATCATTTAGACAGGAATGGACAGAGGTAGCGGAAGTATGTCCGCTATCAGCCATATGGTGCGAATACCGAGACCTTCTGTGCTTACTCAACCTTGAGTAACCCTGCGATGACAAAACATCTATTCCATCACTGGGTGGCACAGAGCCGCCTTGCGCGTTTGTTGCTGAGATACACGACCTCAGTAAGTCTGGAACAGTGGGCGATCGCTCAAATGAAAATGGACTTGTCGGGAAATCCTCGTTCGCTGGATAATCGGCACTAGTGGGGATCTGTAAGGAGTACGTAGCTGAACTGCGTCTGGCAAGACTCTGCACATGGGCCTGGGCGGTCGCCAACTCACCCCCAGCAAACTGTAAACAGGGTTCGGAGACAATCATATCGTCTGGACTGATGATAGTTCGCTGAGGTAACAAGTAAGGTTGCTCATCATAACTCGAGGAAACCTGGGTCTTAATGCGTCGCAAATCTGATCGCCCAAGCTTGATGGGCTCCTCTTCAGGTGCACATCCTGGGTGAAGGTTAGGTGACGGACCTTCGGGGAATTTAAGCCTGGCCCTGTCACTGGGACATGGAGATGTGGAGCCATTCACGACGCGTAATGATCCTAGTTTCAGTGCTCCTAGATGGGTGTACTCGAGTTCATTCGGTGTAGGAGGGCGTAACTGCTCCGATGTAATATCAGGTCTGGTCATGCTCTCTTCGTTGTGAGATGCGAATTGTTCGCGCGCCTGATATGACACATGTGAGTTGTTGGTAGATCGGCCATTCTCCTGATCAATCATCGGAGGCTGTCTGCGAGCTGAGTCTCTTGTCGATCGTCGTGCCACAACCCCAGGCCGCGTCAACAGAGACCGTCGGCGGATCAGGGAGAACCCTTGACTATCGACCATGAAGTGCGTGTTAGAAGACTTTGCTTCTTCGATAGTACTGCGGCTAATAGCACTGTGCGTTCTTTGAGGTGGTGAAGTGGTCGAATAGGAACGCTTGGGGTACTTGTCAATTGGTGATTGTGGAGAGGCTCGAAAGGCTGCGGACCGAACGGTACCTTGTCTGGAGGGCTGCAGAGATGCTCGTCTATCCACAGCAGAGGACCCCACAGTAGAGACAGTGGGCGAGCGCAAAGCCATGCCCTGTGGCTCCCTGGCTATAGCCTGGCATTTTCGGGGTCCATTGACGGTAAGCCACGGCGTTCTAGAATGAGAGATCACAGAAGGGAGAGAATGTGATCTTCGTCCGCTCAAACCCGAATTAGTCGTGTTGATGGGTATGGATGCCCCTGTCCATGGGTTTTGCCATGCAGCTGCGGGATGCAAGCACGCAGACGAACCATCAACGGAAGGCTGATGTTGATGAGATACGGAGGTGACTGGTTCCACGGTTGCTTGTTTCGGAGGTGGTTTTGACAAACGTCTCGAGCGGCGGGGGCGCTTGTCCTTAGTCTGGTGGTGGACTGACACTGACAGAAAGCTTCCCATTTCCAGACAAGTAGGAAGCTCGTTACCTGGCGGCCGACAGGCTCAGGCGCCCTCCTAAATCAGTGATAACAGTACACGCACAGCATGAGCGAACCCGCAGGATCGACGATGAAGTAGTATGAGCACAGACGTCGCCAGCCAGGCTTGAAGCGCCGGGCTCCTTGTCACGAAAACACCCGCGCGGAAACCTGGACTTAATCCTCCACGTCAGCTGCAAATCACGAAAGAGCTATCGGAGGCGTGGCAAGAAAATATTGAATATTCGAAATTGGGCCGTGTGTGCTTGCTGTTTCACAACGTGGGCAGCGACACTCAATTCAACGATGGAGTCAATAACTGGCCCCAAGCACACATAGGCGACACGGATAAGAAGGGTACGAAATGTCGCCGTAATCGCAACCGGGGTAAGATGCTCGAGCTATGCCCTGGCCTCCCGTTTTCTTCTATACAAGAATGGTATTGTAGAGCTGAGCACGAGGCTAGACAATTGGCTGTCTGTCGTGAGCGACGAGTGATATAAGAATGTTTGATAGCCCTGTTGCTCTTGGCCTGTTGGATCCAATCCTGGACGGCGAGGGCCACCAGAGAGTTTTGAAATCGAAAGGTTAATAACCAATAATAAAACAGACCCTGAAAGTATTCGACAAGTAGTGAGGAACCAGTAAATTAGGGTAAAAAAATTATTAACTAGAGCCCCCGGAATCCTAAGTAAATTGACACAGATGCAAATTGACCGGGGGAGAGAAGAAGAAGGGGGGGGGGGGGGAAGGGGGTAAAAGAAACGGAGGAAGGAGATAAATCAGATCCAGCCCAACGGACAGCCAAATAGATTAAGAATTAGAATCCGAGGTAGATAAGCAAGGGAAATGAGATACATAAAAGAGGTGGAGCTCCACTGATTCTGCCATGGTTGAGGGGGATGCACATAACAAGACACACTGTCGTAATGACGATAGAAGACGGATGCGTATGGAGACGAACGGATCGACAGCTTGCAGACGGTCTGACGGTCGGAACGCAACCCAGCTAGACAGTAGATGGCACGACCGCTTTTTCCAGTCAGCCATTCATTCAATTGCGTTTATCCAATGTTACTCCGTAGAAACGGTTTAAGTTGTATGAGTTAGACTTGGTAAATTTACAAAAGTCTGTGGAGTTTTAACCTCTCTTGACTACGCTACAAGAGAGATCTCCAAGGGCCCTTGGCCCTTGACTACAATTTTATGGGAATCAAAGGTTGTACGTACTGTACTCTGTAAAGAGAAAAGTTGCGTGAAAGCCTGGAGGCCGAAGGGCAACTCCAACGAATGCGGACAAAGAAAGTGGCACGTTGAGGGGGGAAACGTACTAGTATCCTGTGTAGACGGGAGTAAGGTCTAGCACAGTACAGTACATGTATGTCCTTGTGGCCAGTGCTTACTAGATAGTGTGTGTGGTATTTAGTCTAGTCTATGTATCTTACAATACGGTATATATCATATATCGTACGTACGTATACAGTACATACATGGAGATTGGTAAATGGATCGTCACAACTAAGTAGGGAGGGCACTTACGAGTTGTAGGACCAGCTGTGGATCATCTCAGGGGAGAAAGCTTGTCGGTTGATAGAGATGGCGTCCTATGATTGGCACACATTTTGCTCACTCCTGGCCGCATTCAGTGGTGGCCCTGGTGGGCAACCCAATCCGTTTGTCTGATGCTCAATTCAGGTCGTCTTAGTCTCAGTTCTGGTTTGCGCCAAGTTGATGATGGCTTGTGGAAATTCCGTCGAGGAACGAATGGTTTCC